CGTCATTAGATGGGTGAATATATCATGGAAACTAGAGCCAATCAACATTTTTTAGGGTCATTTTCGTTTTCAGCACCCCAAAATTATGTAAGATTAGCTAATTTTATGCCCAAAACTTTTTACCTGTTGAACAGTGTAATCGATGCAGGGCCTCAATTCCCCACCTTTCTTCTCTACGAAAAAAAAAAACCTGCTCCTGCTGGAGAAGTATACTTACGAATGTGCCCCCGGGAAAGCGCATCCACAACGTACTCCTCCATGGCCTTATTCTCCGCAACCGAGAGAGGGTATACCCTGCCACGCGGAGGAGTGGCCCCGGGTTGCAAGGATATGGCGCAGTCGTAAGGACGATGCGGCGGTAAGGCACCAGTGCGTACCTTATCAAACACGTCCCGGTACTCCCCATAGTCGGTGGGCAACGCAGAGTCCGAGGAGGCACACAATACCTTAACCGGCCCACGGATGCACCCGGCCCCACACTGTGGAGACCATGAGAGAATCTCGGCTGTTTGCCAATTGAAGGTTGGATTGTGCCTCTGGAGCCAGGGATACCCCAAAACCACCGAATAGTGAGGGGAAAAAATCACCTGAAAACAGGCCAACTCCCTGTGAACAGCCCCAATGGCTACCTCTATCGGCAGAGACTCGTGGGTAACCTGCGGCGGTTGAGGGGCCTGCCATCTATTGCTTCGAGAACCAATGGGGTAGCACGAGCCTGCAGGGGAATGGAGTGCTGTGCAGCAAACGAGCTGTCCAAGAACAACCCACCGGCCCCAGAATCTACCAACGCCTGGGCCGTCACCGAGCCCTCCATCCAAGAAAGGACCACGGTGATCAGTGGCTTATCCTTGCGGAACGCAGGGGAAGAGGAAACTCCACCCAAGATCTGTCCCCGACATGATCTCAGGTGCGAGCGTTTCCCAGACGGACCGGACAAGACTGCCGAAAGTGCCCACCGAGGTCACAGTACAGGCAGCGACCCTCCCGACGCCGAGCGGCCCGCTCTCCCTCGGAAAGGCGAGCAAACTCCAGCTGCATGGGTTCCCCACCAGACAAGCTATCCCCAGGAGGTGTGGGAGGAGAGGGAGGAACGGGTGGGACAGAAAACGCAGGTGCCAGTCGATTGGAAGGCCTCTGCAGGCGTTCCTTGAGTGAAGGCCTCTCCCTGAGCCTGGTGTCAATCAGGATCAGGAAAGAGATGAGCTCCTCCAACACCACCGGCAGTTCCTTAGCTGTAATCTCGTCCTTCAATGTGTCAGAAAGACCATGGGAAAACGCAGCCACCAGAGCCTCATTGTTCCAACCGACCTCTGCCGCCAGGGCACGAAACTCTATGGCGTACTCGGCCACGGTCCGTGAACCCTGATGCATAGTCATGAGCAGCTTGGCTGCCGAGGCGGAACGAGCCGGTACGTCGAATACCCTATGGAAGGCATCGACAAAACCGGAAAAATCTTGAATCACCAGGTCGTTCCTCTCCCATAAGGGATTTGCCCAGGCCAAGGCCTTGATGAGAGTAGTGAAATTAGGAACCCCACCTTTGACCTCTCAGGCGGAAAGGCGTGGGGTATTAGCTCAAAATAAATACCCACCTGGTTGAGGAACCCACGACACTGACTCGGCTCACCCCCAAAGCGCTGTGGAAGAGGGGCAAACCAGTCATACCTCTGGGTGCCGCTGATGCAGCCGCCGAGGTGGTGGACGCAATAGGCGGAGAAGCAGCGGGAGAGACCACCGGAGTGACTACCGGCCTAATAGCACCAGGAGCAAGGTGTGCAGTGCGTGCAAGCAGAGTTTGCAACGCCTGAGCGAACTGATCCAACAGGTGATCCTGTTGATCAAGTCTGGCGACTAGCGTTGGGGAGAAGGCGTGCCTGCACCGTCAGGGTTCATGGCACTTGTGTAATGTCAGGGCAGGGTCCGAGGAACGGACAGGCAGGCCTAACAATGTAACGCACTGGCTGACGACAACCACCACCCACAGATCGAAGTCCCTCAGGGCGCAGAGTCTAAGTCCCAGGCTGCCCTTCACCAGGGCCCCTGATGGTGGGGATGGGACTTGACGCAGCCAGGAACCAGGTCGCAGCCCCCGAGACACCTCAGCTGTGGTAATGGCCGCTGCCAATGGCGTGTAGCTGGTGGAAGAGACAAAAGAGTAGTCAGACAGGCCGGGTCAACAACAGGACAAAACAGTACAGGACAGCAGACGAGAATCACAGGTCACGAGCCGGGTTCAGCAACAGAGGGTCAGATCAAAGGAGAATACAAAGAATAGTCGAGTCACAAGCCGAATCAGATACCAGGATAGTCACGAGAGTCAGAACAGAGTAATAGCAACACCAAGACACAAGTGCAAAGAGCATGTGCGGACCACAGGCTTATATGTCATCAGCCACACCCCTCTGGGGGATGGACCTCAGAGACCTGAAGGCATAAAAGGATTCCCATCATGCACAGCAAAAATCCAAGATGGACGCCAGCACATGGAGTAACATAACCTCAGGAAAAAGGTAGGACCTTGACAGGGGGACATTTTTAGGAATAGATATAGTTAGGTTTTTCTTCTGGTTAGCCATTGTTGAGCTCTCCCTGAGCTGGAACTGCCGGATCATGTGACCTGACCAGAGTGGATTAAAAATAGGTAAGTACATACGTTTTTTTCATATAGGTTAGGCAGGATGGGTAGGGAGGAAGGGGAACATTTTTAAGAAAAGTTAGTCTTTCTTTCATTTTAAGGCTTACTAATAAAAGCTGGCCAAGTTGGATTCTCTACCTGTGCAGTTACATTTAGAAGTTGACTAAGGTGTCATCCAACCTTGCTGAATGCTAACCAAGGTTTGCAGTCAGACACTTGACTGAAAACTGGCCAGCTATTGGCTGTGTTTCTTAGAGAAATTAAATCTTGTACTGTACACACGATAAAAAAAGACTATAGCAGATTGCCTTTGGCAGAAAAACAGTATCGCAAAGCCCTTTTCAAATAATAGTTTTGGTATTCCAATGCTATATGCAAAAATGTTGTAACTATGTTTTTTCACTTGACTTATTTTAAAACATGTGAAACTAAAGTTGGCCATACAGCAGTAGAATTTAATTTGATCCATCGTACGGGAATTCTGAAAAATCATTCATTCGAACAGTCTTCCATACTGTCATTTAGCCAACTAACTTCATTCCAAAGCCCTTAACATTTCATCCAGACCTGCTATTTGAATGATATCCCAAACATATTAAATAAGCTTTATGCCTAGAATATATGCATTACCATATATATTATTTTTCTTCAACGAAAACCACATTTACAATTTGAATTTCATTTGTTAGAGAAAAGATTTCTATCCTGCTCGTTCAAATGTTCTCCTCACTGGATGAAAACAAATGCTGATTAGACCCCATTAACCATTAGGAAATCAAAGGAAAACAAAAATTTTCAGCTTATCACTGTCATTCCTTAACATTTTTTTTTCTTTGAAATGTTTTTATTTCTCTTCTTAAACACTTATGTGGAATTTGATGGCTGGCCTCACTTATTGTGAAGTGCAGTTGATGGAAACAAGGGGCCAGTAGACAGCCTAAAGTACCTTCAGCATATTATGACTGTAAATTAAGGTTTGCATAAGTGACAATTTACATCTTTGAGTTGCAGGAATGCATGAGTTAAAGCAGAACTTCACCCAAAAGGGGAAGTTTTGTTTGTTTGTCCCCTCCCCCTCCTATTTAAAATTTGGTACTTATTTTTTGGGTGGTGGGGTTTTGACAGGTACCCGCTCCCACTTCTGCAGAAGTTCACCCTTCCCTTTGCCTGCGGTTTTCTGGGACACATCACAGGTCGTTTAGGACTGCGGGACCATTCACAAAGCTGCGGCTAGTTAAGATGCAGGTGCCTGCACTCAAAGTCCATTGAAGAATCAGTTCAGGTGAGGACAGCACTGGATCCCTAGACAGGTGAGTGGCCTTATATTAAAAGTCAGCAGCAGTCAGTACTTGTAGCTGCTAACTTTTATTTTTTGGGAGAGACTGAAGCTCCTCTAAGGTGTGTATTTGCATTGTGTGCCAACACACATTTCATGCTTGATGCCATTCATTTTGAAAAGCACCCACATGCCCCAAGGCAATGCACTCTGAATTCAATATCAGGAGTCATGCTATCACCCATAGACTTCCATTGCCTAGCCATTGTAGGCGCTCTCTCCTTTCTCCTGCAACAGCCACTCAGTATTACTGACACCATTTTTTTGGTTAGCAATCTACTAGGCCCATTAAATCTGCTGAAATCTAAAAATGTGTAAAGAGCTGATTTGGAATTATGAAATGTCTCATGGGCTGTTGTGGCCAAGGTGGAACTGTCACCTACTTAAACTCATGACAAGTGTATATGTTGGCTGTCACTGCAACGTGACTGCTACTCTAATCAGTGTTTTGAGTTCATGTTATGTTAGTATACTTGGTTCAGTGTTATACATTAACACACTAATCTGTGGTGAAAGTGTCACCCTACAGCACAAATCACCTTTCTACTTTTAACCCTGTGCTTTATTTTGTGCACTTTTACAGTAAATGCTGTGTTGACCAAACATGATGCAATTTGCTACATTTAGCGCAGAGAAGAATAATGAAAATCTATGAAAATCAGTGAAATTTCAATCAGGGCTGGATCAAGCCTATCTGATCTGGGGTGCAGTGAAAAAAAGTCAGGGGGCATAATGTCAGCACTGTGTGTGAGTCACTGACAGTGTGTCATAAAGTCTTATGACCCGGGAAACACTATTATGTATTCAGGGGCGGACTGACAACTCATGGGCCCCCCCGGGCAATAGGGGATCATGGGGCCCCTGTGTCCTTGCCCAAACCCAAAAAAAAGCTTATAAAAGGTATCAGGGACATTTCATGGGGTCCCCTACTGACCCCGGGCCTCGGGCAGTGCCCGAGTGTTCGAATGGTCAGTCCGCCCCTGTATGTATTAGGTTTTCATTAGATTAAGATGAATAAACAAAACCTGTTCCCCCCTATATCAGATGTCCCTATCAGAGTCCCCCTTTACATCAGAAGTCCTCATCAGAGTCCCCCTTTATATCAGGAGTCCTCATCAGAGTCCCTCTTTACATCCTGTCTACTCACCAGAGTCCCCTCTTTACATCAGGTTCCCATTTGAGTGTCCCCTTCCATCAGGTATCCCTACCAAAATCCCCCCTTACATCAGTGTCCCCATCAGAATACCCTGTTACATCCAAAGCCCTATCAGAGTGTCCCCTTACATCAAGATTCCCACCAGAGTACCTCCTTACATCAGGTGTCCCCATCAGAGTGCAAAGTGAAACAAAAAACAATAAGCGCACCAACTTTGCGCATTACCTCAGTAACCGAATTTATTAATTGAAGAATGGTACTCACAAACAGCGAATAAAATCAGGCATGTAGTCCTAGAAGGGACTTCAGAGATAAGGAGCCAGCATGAATCCCATCATGGGGGTAGCACTCAGTACAGCTGACGCGTTTCGAAGGCCATGCCTTCTTCCTCAGAGCTAACTGGACTGAGAGTGTTTGCTCCCTTTTATGCCAACAGACTGACAATTGGCCCTCCCCATTGGGCTGGGCAGTCTCAGGCTGGGAGGATGGGCTATGGTGTCAACAGGATACAATATCTCATTAGCAAATTACAGGATACAGATAAAAATGAATAAATAAATAAGTGATTTGCTAATGAGATATTGTATCCTGTTGACACCATCGCCCCTTCAGCTGTACTGAGTGTCTACCCCCATGATGGGATTTGCGCTGGCTCCTTATCTCTGAAGTCCCTTCGAGGACTACATGCCTGATTTTATTCGCTGTTTGTGAGTACCATTCTTCAATTAATAAATTTGGTTACTGAGGTAATGCGCAAGGTTGGTGCGCTTCTTGTTTTTTGTTTCACTTTGCAGTATCGGTCGGGCTTCCCCAGCCTTGTTTGGAGCTGTTTTGGTTCCATCTACTCGCCACCGGTCTGGGCCCTAGAGCGCAGGAGAAATCGCATCTGGTCCCCATCAGAGTGTTCCCATCAGAGTGCCCCCTTACATCAGGGTTCCCATCACAATGCCCCCTTACATCAGGTGTCCCCATCAGAGTGCCCCCTTACATCAATGTTCCTAATAAAGTCCCCCTTACATCAATTGTCTTTATCAGAGTGTCCCCTTACATATGATTAGTTATCCCCATCAGATTGCCCCTATACATAGAGTGTCCCCATCAGAGTGCCCCCTTACATCAACTGTCTCCATCAGACTGGCTCATGGATCAGTGGATGCACTCTCAGAGACCTGGGGTGGCAGAGCTAAAATCTGGGGGGCACCGCCCACCCCAGCACCCCCCTAGATCCGACCCTGATTTCAATAAGCTTTAACAAGTTCATATCATTTCAAAGTTCTTTTCAGTACTTTTAAGGCTACAGCTTTCATTAAAAAAAAAATACCCAGTAAACGTGACATTAGTGACCAGCTTTAGTTTGGGTGAACCCATAAAGCAGGTGTCGTTCTTAGGCCAATTAGCTGCGGCCTGGACAATTCCAACCCCGCAGCTACATGTACACAAAAGGAACAGAGATGCTTGTGACATCATTGACCTAATATGGCCACATGACCATACTGGATCAATGACATTGGCCTAATATGGCTATGTGGCCATTTTGGGTCATTGATGTCACAAGCATCCCTGCCCCCTTATGTATGTGCAGCTGTTCCTGCCCGTACCCTCATTTGCCTGGCACTAGCAGTTGACTCCTGGGTTGGGTTAAATAAGGATTCACACCACACCTGAAGCCGAAACCAAGCTCATCCCTACTTACCATGAAGGCCTTTGTTCGTGCATACACTCTGTTCCTCTCAGCCAGTTCTAGTGAAATATTCCCATCTCATGTGTTCTTGGAAATAGTTATAACAGGTGGGTGTTGTAGCAAGTGCCAGCTAGAAACTGGTATCAACACAAGGTTAAAGCATATCAGGTCAGCACATCAAATAGAATCCAAAAAGTGTTTTTAAAGCAATCATATCACAATCACAGAATTGCAATATTTCAGGGCCACACAAGACCCCTTCATCAGGCATGTGCCTGATGAAGGGGTCCTGTGTGGCCCCAAAATGGTGCAATTTTTTGCTGTGATGTGATCTCTCCTAATTCTCTCCTAATTCTCTCTCATCACCCTGCCATATGGACATCTGATAAACTACAGGTGGATGTTTTAACACATGATACAGGCATTGTCCGATATTGTCACCAACAGGAAACTTGCCTCACAAAATGCCATACAACCATTTCTGGAGTGCATGCATGTAGACAGCAAGTAGCTGCAAAAAGGACAGCAAAAAAAAAAGAGCAACATTAAGATGCAACAAAGAAAAAATGTTAGCAAGTATTTAATTGGCAATTGTTTGTGATACACAACTTCCAGCTAAGTAAATGTCATTCATTTAGGGTTCACAACTCTAATACGCTTGAAGGGAATCTGTGCTTTGTCCTTGCTGGAAAAAAGCAACAAGTTGACTTTACCACCCATCAGCCTCTCAGCATATACTTACCTTCCGTTTGCCTTCTTCTTAATTTGTCCATAGCATGGAACACCTGGTACTTCTGGTTATGGGGATCAATATGAGTTGCTATGCTTTCTGTCATCTGACAGCATTGGTGTTTAATGATTGGCCCAGTGATGTCACATGGAAACAGAAAGAGACTCCTTGCCATACGTAAGCCCATAAAACGTAACTGAAAAGCAGATAGCTGCAGCAAGTGGACAGGGCTGGATGGTGCATTGAACGATAATAATGTTTAGAGCATTATGCACCCATGGACAAATGCCAAGAATGTAAGCAGTCTACATTTGAGCATTTATCCCTTGCTGCACCGTCCAGCCAAAGCAGTTTTCAGCTTCTAATTTAGTTTTACATTCTACATTTGAGCATTGGTACTACTTGTTGCACTGTCCAGACGAAGCAGTTTTCAGTTTCTAATACAGTTTTACAGGCTGCCAGTAGCGGGGCTTGGTGGTGTGCGCCTTTGCCTTCTGTCCAAACCTATGCGCTGGAGTCTCCTGTACTAGGGCTAAAGGCCCAGTGTGAATGAGGCCTAATAGAAATTCACACATAAGTATTACATTATATTATGTATTTAGCTGGTTGCTTGCAGTTTTATTACTAACTGTCCGTTTTAATAGAAGATTTATAATAAAAAATAAGTTCACCCAAACCCAATATACTTTTTGGTGGATTCCACAGGGCAAACCACAAACTGGCAATTTATTTATGAGCTGTGAAATCTCTGCATCTGAGTTACCAGCTCTACCCAATAGAGGTAACACTTCGGGAGGTTGCAAGGGGAGTCCTAACATTACCATAGTGCCAGCTTTAGACTCCTATTTATGATAACCTAACTTAAGCCGACCATACATGGATCGAAACTTGGCTGGTTCAGCAGGGACCAGATGGGATTCAATCTAGTTACGGGCAGGCTGGTTGCGTCCAAGTCGATCAATTTATTGATTTTTACATGAGGATTATTGCCGGTGGCTATAGCCACTATCAGTAATCACTGTGTTCTACCAGCCAGGAAGGCTCCCTGCCTGCAGAACACAATAACGCTGTGGGAGCCATTCCCCCCATCAACATAGTCAGCATAGGATGATTTTCCTTCATGCTATTGTTGGCATGGTAGCAGGGGCGGACTGACAACTCATGGGGCCCCCGGGCAATAGTGGATCATGGGGCCCCTGTGTCCTTGCCCAAACTCAAAAAAGCCTATGAAAAAGGTACCAGGGGCATCTCATGGGGCCCCCTACTGACCCTGGGCCCTTGGGCAATGCCCGAGTTTCCAAATGGTCAGTCCGCCCCTGCATGGTAGCCAATCAGCTTCTAACTTCAGCTCGTTCAATTAAGATTTGACAATAAACCCTGGAAGCTGATTGGTTTCTATGTAAAGCTGCACCAGATGTTGCACTCTCCAATTTTAGTAAACCAACCCCATTGCTGGTCAGAGTACATGGTGAGGGATTCAGTAATTTTGAAGGTTACAGTCATCATGGCCAAAAATATTGGCACCCCTGCATTTCTGTCAGACAATGCACCACTTCACTCAGAAAATTGTTGCCATTACAAATGTTTAGGTATTCTCATTTTTATTTCTTTTGTTTTTATTGGTATGACACAAAAAAAGTGGAGAAACAAAAAGCTAAATCTGATACATTCCATGCAAAACTCCAAAAATGGACTGGACTAAACCCTCAATTTACTAATTGGTAGCACACCCATTGGAAAAATAACCAAAATCAAACGCTTCCTTTAACCATCAATGATTTTCTTACACCTCTCTGCTGGAATTTTAAACCACTCTTCTTTTGCCAACTGCTCCAGGTCTCTCAGATTGGAAGGGTTTCTTTTCACAGCTGCTGTTTTAAGATATTTCCATAGGTGCTCTATTAGGATTGAGATCTAGACTCATTGCTGGCCGGTTCAGTGCTCTCCAACGCTTTGTCTTAAATCATTTCTGGGTGCTTTTTGACGTGTGCTTTGGGTCATTGTCCTGCTGTAAGACCCATGACTTCTGATGGGGATCCAACTTTCTGACACTGGGCCCTACATTGCACTGTAGAAGTCTTTGATGCGTGAAGCAGCAACGCAACCCCAAAACTTCAGTGAACATCCACCATGTTTGACTGCAGGGACTGTATTCTTTTCTTTAAAGGCCTCATTGCTTTTTCTGAAAACAGTAGAATGATGGGCTTTATCAAAAAGCTGTAATTTTGTTTCATCTGTCCACAGCACATTCTCCCAAAAGGACTTTGGCTTCCTCAGATAAGATTTGGCAAACTCCAATCTGGCTTCTTTATGTTCCTGTGTCAGCAGAGGGATCATCCTTTGTCTCCTACCATAGCGTCCCTTTTCAGATTGTGATGTACAGAGCAAGTTGACACAGTTGAACCCTATGCCTGAAGGTCAGCTTGAATTTGTCCGGAAGTTGATTGAGGTTCTTTAGCTACTATTCTAACAATCCTTTGTTGCAATCTTTGATCAATTTTCTCTTTCATCCATGTCCAGGGAGATTAGCTACCATGCCATGGGCTGTACACATCTTGACAATGTTGTGCAGTGCACACAGGAACATTAAGATCTCTGGAGATGGACTTGTAACCTTGAGATTGTCCATGCATTTCCATAATTTTTGTTCTCAGATCCTCAGACAATTCATTGCTGCTTTTTTTCTTCTCCATGCTCCATGTGGCTCACGAAGACACACAACAGAAAGGATGAATCAATTTTTCACCATTTTAACTTGTTGCTGGTGTGATTTCTACATTATCAGCACCTGTTAATTGATGTAGATGAATTTAATTACCAATTACAGGAGCATCACAAACTTGGAATGCAATTATTTCTTACAATTTTTAGAAGGTGCCAATAATTTTGTCCAGTCACATTATTGGAGTTTTGTGTGGAATTTCTCAGATTTGGCTTTTGTTTTTCCACTTTTTTGTGTCACACCAATCAGGGGCGGACTGACAACTCATGGGGCCCCCTGGGCAATAGGGGATTATGGGGCCCCTGTGTCCTTGCCCAAACTCAAAAAAGCCTATGAAAAAGGTACGGCATCTCATGGGGCCCCCTACCGATCCCGGGCCCTGGAGCAGTGCCCGAGTTTCCAAATGGTCAGTCCGCCCCTGATACCAATACAAACAAAAGAAATAAACATGAGCATGCCTTTTTTTTTTCTGTTTGTTTTTGGTGTGGCAGTGGATAGCTGCCTTTAGTCTGAGTTATTCTCCGTGTTATATTTATGTTTTGTTATTTAAGTGCCATTGATAGCCCCTGCATGGGCGATCTTTTGCCCTGTTGGTGTTAGAGCACTGATTTCTTTTATTTTCTACTTCTTTTATGTGCAATTGATAGCCCCTGTGTGGGCGTGATTTGTTGCTCCTGTGTTAATTGTTATTAATTAATAAAAAAACCATTGAAATACAAACATGGGTATGCCTAAACATTTGTAAGTGCAACAATTTTCTGGGCGAAGTGGTGCATTATCTGACAGACATGCAAGGGTGCCAATATTTGTGGCCATGATTGTATGTGAAAGATTTGGTCATCAGCTGCAAAGAAAGGACAAGAGAGAGGAACACTTTTTATCAGGTTTTATCAGAAGGCAAAGCTATTGACTGTAAGAATTCTAAGTGGTCAATCATTCGTCCATCGAGGCTGCATGGTAAAGAGGTGTCTGCCTGCGGCAATAAGATAATTGTCTGGTATGATCAAACCTGCCAGTGAATGTAAAGTTGTGACATTGTGAATGTGGTAACGCATGCAACCATTCTCCTGTGTCTATGGCCAGCTTTCCTTTAAAAGAACAGTTTTGC